AGAAGAAGAAGAAGAAGAAGAAGAAGAAGAAGAAGAAGAAGAAGAAGTAGTAGTAGTAGTCGTCAGAAAACACAGAAAGTACCAGGAGGGCATTTCAGGCATTACTCAGACTCTGAAATCACCCATGTTTATTTTTCACAGCTTTTATACCCAATGTAAACTGGAGAAGAAGGTAATAAAAGACTTTATTAACATGATACAAAAGGTTAACTCACACAGTCAACTCTGGAGCATCAATCATTAGCATTCTGTTGTCTAGGTAGCGAGGTGCCCCAAGTCTAGGTCACGTGCCTTAAGACTGCCCTTCCCTAGGTGACCTCACAGTTATAAAAGAAAGGAGCAGAAGCACACCTGCATCTCCTGACCACCTGACAGGATGGCACCAAGCTATCTTAACTTCAAAAGAGCCAGGCAACCACCTCCTGAGTTAGAAGGTGCAATTAAGCCTGTAGTCTCCAAACTCTCTGACCTTCAAACAAGGTGGAAATGGGCCTGCATTTTGCACCCTCCACTCTCCTGTCTCCTCCTGCCTATATTCTCTTTAGCCAGTCATCCAGTCCTGTCTCCACCTCCCTAGTGCTGGGATTAAAGACCTGTGATCCCAAAGTGTTGGAATCACCTTAGTGTGAGATCTGTCTCTCTTTTAGATTGGATCAGTTTCGTGTAGCATGCAGGGTGACCTTGAGCTAACAGAGATCCATCTGTGTCTCCCCTCCAACCCCCGCTCCAAGTCCTGAGATTAAAGGTGTGCGCCACCACTGCCTGGCTTTACTCTGCACTCTGATCTTCAGTCAAGCTTTATTTGTTAAAACACAAGCAAAGTATCACTACAATGAACCCTCTCACAGGGACTATGCACAACTTCGGAGAAATGTAGGTGTTTTGTAAGGGAATTTACTGGGCTTGGAGAAACATGATGTTTCATACAGTGAAGTTTCTTGGGCAGGAAATGCAGACAATAAATTGCAAGTGACCCTGGTTGGAATCATGAGTGGTAACCTCAAAGACAATGATCTACAAGGAATGCCTGCCCAGGTGTGCTAGCAGACTTCAGTCCTTCCGCAGAGATAATGGAAAGTCAGTGGAGGGGCCAGGGGTAATTATTTGTTTCATTGGGGTTTCAGGCTTTAGGTAGACCAGAAGGTATTGGAGAAGTTTCCCTCACCATATATTGTTACACTCTCTTTCTCTTCAGAGCAACTGGTATTGGAGAGTTGTTGGCTTGAGGTTTCTGTCTCGCCCCATCCCATAGCTGTTCAGTCGCAAAGAAACAC